CATTGTACAGTGGCATTAAGTGCCGTAATGTGCACCTCTGCCTACCCCTACGGGGATAAAAGGCGTGATATTAAGTTATGTTACTGTACCACATGTATTTTCTTGTATATCCAGTTGGAGGAAGTCCGCAAGATCAACCCGTCAGTCCATCGTTCGGCGACGAGTAGTGTCCGCAGCAGTACGAGCCGGGCGGGCGCCGCGCCGCGCGCCCCCGCCCGCCCGGCGCCCGCGCAGCCCGCCGCCACCGGGAACATGGTCAGTATACCTAACTATCAGTATATATGTATCTCGATAATCGGTCTAGGTTGGGTTTTGTTAAGTACAGAGGAATAAATATTAAGGTAAATTTATTGAAATTCGTAAATCAACGCAGTGATTTTCCACAGCTGCAGATAATTAAATTATTTTGTTCGGGAGTATTTTTATCTTAATTCTTAGTCAGTTCTTTGGTGGTAACACAAAATCAAAATCAAAACACGTAATTTATTTCAATCCATGAAAATATAGGAATAAGATTTTACGATCTGTAATTCGGAATAGCGAGGATCATTTGATCAGGCGGCGTAATCATACCTGATGGAGCGTTGTCTAACAGACAAACATAAAAAAAAATGTAAACAACATATGAATAGAGATGATGACAGGGTATGAATATTAAAAATTTAATTAGTCCGTCCAGTTAGGTAATGAACAAAATATTAGACACGTATTTTTTTATTTTGTCGTATAAGAAAATGATAAAACAAATCAAAGTTTAGGAGTGGGGGCTAAAACGTCATTCCTACGCATAAAATGTACATAGAAGTGACGTCACGCGACATTTCAAATCAATACATCGTCGAAAGTATACGTTTCTCTAAGAAAATAAAAAACACATGTCTAATGTTTTAAAATAATCTACCAGACGGACATTAAAATCAAAATTAGTCATTTACCCTATTGCGAGGATCATTTGACCAGGCGGCGTAATCATACCTACTGGAGTGTTGTCCAAAATACATAAAAAAAAAATTGTAAACAACATATGAATTGTCCCACTTCCACTTCTAAACGTGTAATCCTACAAAAAGGTTCGCAAAAAGAAGAAGTTATCAGACACACCGGAGGAGGGAGCTACGAAGGAGAGTACGCCGCCACCACTACGGTTCGACTGTCCAGTGTGTGACCAGCCTTACAAAACTTTAATCTTGTTACAACAACACGTCGAACATTGTCTACCATGATTGTAGCTTAGGAGACACTGCCACTAATTGACATCTTATGGTATTATTATGCATAGTATATAACAAAGTCGCTATCCATCGTTTGTCTGTCCCTATGTATGCTCAGATCTTTCGCAACGGATTTTGATGCAGTTTATTTTAATATTTTTTTTCTCTCATTATTTAATTAGGAACTTTTGTACATAAATACATGACAGTTCCATTATACCTTATATCTTACATGTTAAACTTATAAGTTATACAAACAAAATACTCTTAATATCTATTTAACAAAACCTAGACCTGCAAAGCTATACAACTTTTTGGCCGCATCAGACAAAGGGGCAGCTAAAATTTCATTAAATAATCCTACATTGTTTTTAATTAATTCATTAGTCAGGATATCTCTTTCAGCCTAAGTTTATTTTAATAGATAGAGTGATTCTTAAGGAAGGTTTATGTGTATAATACATGAATATTGCTCCCGTGCGAAGCCGGGGCGGGTCGCCAGTTACTCACACACAGAAGGAATTCGGGAGTTTTAATTTAGCTACTATCACATTAAATTAATAAAAGTTTCGAAATATTTAATTCCTTTGTCGGCTTCAAATACACGATTTTTTAATGAAATAAGTGGAAGGGTAAACTAGGAGACGGAGCACCTAATGGTAAATCAGCTTCGCTTATGGTCCCGTATTTTCGCCATTTTGTTTTAATTTAATTACAATTGTAATGAATTATAATTTAAATGAACTGTTAATTTACCGAAAATTATGTAAAATTATAGTTGTGAGGCCCACAACTATAAAGTCCCGTCACTCCAAATGAGTGCGTTGCCGATGTTTGGGAAAGTGGAGGAGTGGAAAGAATTGGAAGTTAGAAGTGATTTCATTCTTTTGGAGATTATTTTATTAGAGTTAAAACCTAAATGTTTTTGGATTGTCTTCTTGCCAGGTAGCAACTTTGACTTAAAGCTGTAAGCATTTCTATTTGTCGATGTAAGTGAAAGATGTAAATGTGGTGGCGTATCTTTTTTCTTTCATATTGTATTAGCATAATTTGATTAATTTAGTCAATATTTCTAGTCTTTGAATTAATTGTGCTGTCATTACAGATATGTCTTTCATCCCATTTTCTGAGGCATTTATGTGCATTTTTTCAATTATTTAATTTATCTTTTATACTGAATTAACTAAAAATAGCGGGTTACTCACGTGAATATACTGAGAAAAGTTCTACTAGTTTCGAACCACAGAGGGGTTCTTCTTCATGAGCAGCGTGCGCGGTCGCGGCGAAGTCGCGCAGCCTACTCGATACAGTATATTCACGTGAGTAACCCGCGATTTTTAGTTTATTTATGCCGGAATACTGAAACGTTACTTAATTTTAAGTCGTGCTCAAATATCGTGCCATCTCTGTCATTTTACAAAGAATTTGTAGAGACAGAACTATACTTAAGCACGACTTAAAATTGAGTAGCGTTTGAGTATACCGACATTAGTATGTTTTGTTTTTAATAATTTATGCATTATTCATTCGAAAGTATAAATATAACTTGAATCCCAAATAAAATGGTATACCTTATTTGATTTATGGAAACATGTACATGTACTTAATAATAATAATTTATTGATAGGATCTTAAAGATTTATTGTTCTGTAACACGAATTGATTCCATTATTATAAATCAGTTTTTATTGTAAGTGGAGTAGAAATTTATGAAATTCTTTCATTGTATAACAGAGGGCCTAGTACGATTTCGTTTTACGTTATAATGCGATTGAAATGTTACTGCGTTTAGCCCTTTGATTGGTTGGTTCATTGGAGCAGCCAATCAGAGCGCTTAAGGTCACAAATCACAAACTACGTAATTGGGTACTTTCCTTAAACAATAATAAATTATTTCAACTGTTCAATACAATAATCTATTAAAAAATTATCACACTTTCTTTATTAGATTTTATGACCTACTTAATTTTAGTATTGTTCCAGCAATTTTTTAAGAAATTATTATGCTGTTTGACGCTAAAAAACATGACGTCACAATACACAATCTCGTACAAAATTCATAGAAAACTGTCGTTTTTGACAGTTCGAAAAAAGTATTGAATTGGACTAGTTGGCAAGTGCCTAATTAATAATTTTTGTTGTATAAAAGTTTGTCATTATGGCTGAATAACTAACTACATAGTTTTTAGTGAAATTTTTTTAATAGCAATTTTGTTTAATTTAAACAATAAGTCTATATCTCTTACTTAATTATTGACAGTAATTTTTTCTAAACTATGTAATACCTACTAATTATTGCATTTACATATTTTTTTATCAAACAGTTTTTGTAATAGGTTTAGAAATATACAGAATCTTTAACTATGTAATATTTTAATTTATTTATATGGTTAGATACATAATATTATAGGTTTTTATCTTCAGTATATAGGTAAGACCTGTTTTTAGGTGTCGTATGCGTTTTTGACAAAAAGATAACACAAGAGAATTTTATAACATGATTGTCAATAGTTGGTGTCTTGCTTGTACACCTCTGCCTATCCGTTTATGAAATAACTAGCGTGATGACATGTTATTAATAATAATTGATATGGTATATCAATGTTGTACTTTTTTGTTGAAGTGTATGAATGATTGTTACTAAACAAAGATGTGATTTTTGATGGCTTTAAATCAATTTTGATATACTAACAATGTTTTAAAGTTAAACTATTTCGTGCACGTCGTGTTCAAGGTGTACTTTAGTTAATACTTAATATTTTACCCAAAAAGGTTGTTTAACGATGGTCTTGGCAATATTATTATATATATATATTTTTTAATATACTTTTGATAGTCGCTTTCTATCGATTTATTTCAAGTCTAAACAGCAAGAATCATAATAACACTTAACATTTAGAAGTCTGTCTGTCTGATGTAAGATAGAATAACACCAAGATGATCGTTGAACAACATTCTTACCGACTTCAAAAAATGGAGGAGGTACTATGTTCCCCGGATTTTTTTTCTTAAATATACGCACGAATTGTCAATCGAAGTAGATAAGTTTACAACACTAATTCCTTCTGTTTCTATTTCCAGGTGTTCACATGTCCAAAATGTATGAGATTCTCATGCGATCAGTACAAAGTTATGGAGGACCACTTCGACTTCTGCCTCGACGACTTTTAATGTTAGTATTATGTTTTTATTTGCTAGACTAGTCTTGACTGTGGGGTACACGTATAGTTGTCGATCTACAACCAGTCGCGTTCAGTATGGAATCGTTATTGCTTTAGAAACATAATCCTCAAATTTTGATATCCCCAAATCTTCTATACCCCATCATCACCTCATCATCAACGGCCGAAAGACGTCCACTGCTGGACAAAGAGCTCCCCCTTACCCCATCCCGCAATCCCCTATCCTCCATCTTCCATGCTCCAATCCTCAATCCCCTTCCCCCATTCCCCAACCCCCATTCTCTGTCACCAATCTCCGAATCCCCCATTCCTAGGTTCCTATATTCTAAACCTTATTACCCAAGACACTATATTCCCAATCCCCAATAACCCGTACTTGGTGACAAGTACGCTAGAGGTGTTAGCCTCTAGTGTTCCGAGTGTCCATGGGCGGCGCTGATTGCTTACCATCTGGTGATCTGCGCGCTCGTGTGCCGACCTATATCATAAAAAAAACATCTAAGAAGCTTGTGTCAAGGATTTGTTTCTAGTATTAAAATCTATCGATATCCGTGTGGTTGACTATTGATGTTAATTTTTTTTTTTATATAATGAAAAAGGTGAAATGAAGTTCCTAAATACTTAAATTTCTATGTAATCTTTCATCTATTTTTATATGTAAAAGAATTGTCTAAAATGAATGTATCCGTACAAAGCACTAAAGTCTTCTTCTTTATATCTTATTATTGTATATTTGATTTCGAAAACCTATATATAGAATGAAAAAGTCGACAACTGAACGTTTTACCCTGTTATAGATATAATTATAATGCTATAAGGCCCGTGGCTATTTCTTACTGTAATATAAAACAATGTTATATAATTAGTATAATGTTAAATAACATAAACTGATTATTTTAATTTCAATGATATATTTTTATAATTACTACAATATTTCACGTCATCTACTTATCTTAATTTTATCTACAATTTAATGATTTATGCAATTGTAATTATTTGTCTATTATTATTTATTATCTGTTGTAAAAAATAATCAAATTTATGCGCTGTCATTGGTTGATTCAACTTTCAACTACTTAAAGTGACCAATGGGAGCGTGTGTAGTACCTGATTGGCCAAGTTTGATCTATTATTTTCGCAATGAAAATATATAGATAAATATTTAAATTGAAATAATTACTTAAATATGGGATTTTTGTCTAAAATAGTTTTGCACAAATCATTCCTAACTTTATAAATTGATATAATAGTGTTATATATGTATAGTTAAATATATATTTGTTATGTAGAAGTGTACAATGCATTCCATACATTTTAATGTATTATACTAAAATATTACAGAGGTGAGACAACACTATATGCTAGAAAGAGAAGAATTTAAAAGTAAAAACATATTTTGAATATTTCATTCACTGTCCATTAACAACGAAGCAATGTAATTTGAACCTTATCTCAGGGGCACTAAAGTATTTTTTTCATGTAACTGTTTGCATTATTGACATTAGGTTTACACACAATAACTGACTATAGAAAATACTAGGATTATAAGACCAAGTATTTATATTGATAATCAGGCCAAACAAATTATAATTCTATTAATTTTAACCTCTATTGCGCTTAAAATAATATTTACATTAACTGGAATAGTAGTTACTTTTCGATGCTATTGCAAAAACACCTTACGGCTTTAGAATAGAAGTTATAATTGCTTGAATGAACTTCAGAGTTGTAGTATTCTTCACTTTATGTTAAATGGAAGATATTTTACAATTTCTCTCTCTATATTAAACTGCACAAAATGAAGTCTTCCAAACAATAGAACCACGAAAGTTATTTCAAAAATATAAATGTCATAGACACATACTTGCTTAATTAACGGTAAAACAGGGCGAATAGAATTCGAGGGTAAATATATACAGAAGAGGGGTGAATAAATATTGGGAAAATATTCTAACATTATTTTATTCACCCCATTCCTGTATCTATTCACCCCTCGAATTCTATTCACCCCGTTTAATGGTATTATGTTTTATGGCTTGTCTACTCACGTAATTACTGAAAGTAGCTGCGCGACAGTCGCTGCGTTGCGGGTCGCGGAATGCTGCTCATGGATATGGGCCTCTAGCATGGCTTGAAACTAGTCGAGTTCATTGTCAAATAAGTACGTGAGTAAGTCGAAAAACATAATAATTAATTTAGTATGTCTCATGATATTTATATAATACACATATTTATTGTTTTCTGTATATAGTATTTTCCTAGTCTAATTGTCAACCTTCAGAGTACCTTCAGTCAGAAAAAAACCCATTTGTTTCTTTATTTCATTCATGCTGACGTAAATGTAGGTTTCACTTACGCCATTTTGTTTTTTTTAGTCGAAATTGTTATGGAAGATAGAGGAAGCTCACATATTTCGCATACGGTATTTTGTTCAACATCTTAATTATTATTTGAAACTTAAAAGACACTATTTGATAGTTTTACATGAAAATTTAAACTAAAATTTGTGATAAAGGACAGAATAATATTTATTTACGTATGAGACGCCATTATGTATCATTTAATTTTAGTATTCATACATTTATATGTATGACTGTTATCAGTAGGTATGTATTTGAATTAAAAAAAAAACATGTAGGATAAAATCAAATATGCCATCTTTATTTTTATATAAACTACGTATTGTATAATTTTAGTCCAAGTAAATGTAGGTTAGACATTATACAGTCCATAATAGAGTACTTGAGTAGGGTAATTTCAAGATGGCTGCCAAAGGGGGGCTATCTTTTTTTGCTTTTAGCTTAGCAGATGGCGCTAATCTAGCTAGTGGCGTGTTTGTCCAATCACCACAGCTGTCAACTAATGTACGCCCAATATTGTGACACTAGCCAATTGGGTAGTTTCCAGGCTAACAAAATTAAAAATCTAATTAGTCCGTCAATTAGATAATGAAAAAATATTAGACACGTATTTTTTATTTTCTCGTATTAAGTTGCAATACTTCGATAAAATGACGCTAAGTTTAGGAGTGCAAGGTCGTTACGTCATAACGTGATATAAAATGTGGCACGCTGTGACGTCACACGATATTTAAAATTATTAAACCGTCGAAAGTATTTAATTTTGTGAGAAAAGAAAAAATACGTGTCTAAAGTTTTACGGACATTAAAATAAAATTTAGGAAACTACCCTATTGCCTATTGAACAAAGAACAAGTCCCCATAGCCCGTTAGGGCCTCTTAGCCCTCTATAACAGAACAGATAAATAGCCCTCTATAACAGAATTGGCTATGAGATAGAAAAGGCGTGTGAATTCACAGAGGTATTTGATTCCTCAAGTGCTACTTAACCCAACATTCGTTGCTACTGGGTAAGAATACCATGTTAGTGATAAAATAAAAATGGTTTGACATTGGTTCGTTTATTAAACATAACATCACGCCTTTTTATCTCCGAAGGGGTAGGCAGAGGTGCACATTACGGCACTTAATGCCACTGTACAATGTAACACCCACTTTTCACTATTTATGTTATGAGTCCCATGTAATAGGGGGTGAGCCTATTGCTATATACCGGGCACAATTAGTCTGGGCTACCACTGAGAATCTTTAAAAACCCAGTAACACTTTGCCCGACCCGGGAATTGACTTACCTTACTAATCGACGACGGTAACTGTTTTTAATGATTAATGTGGTCATTTTTACCCGGTTGCGACCGAGGGCTAAACGCCTTTTGAATAACTTATAGGTCCTAAATTTAATTCTGAATGTGTGATTGAAAATGAGACTGTAATATAGTTATTTAGGAAATTCAAAATTTTTTGTTCTTGTACTTTATTATGAAACCTTTATTAGATATTCGGCCGCCTGTTCATTAGATATTTTCATTTCCATATTTATTATTTTATTCAAGTCTTCTTTATCTTTTAGTGGAATATGTACTATTATTTACAAATTCTGACATTTTATGAATATACCTTATGACAAATTATTTTGTATTCTATTGCGTTTGTAATTAGGTTCAGAATACCTTTATCGATAGTTTGTGATGTATTTGTAAAATAGACATTTATATTCTTATCTAATGATTTATATGTTTTCATTAATAATGTAATAGTTAATTATTGATGTGGTTTTTCTTGATTTCCTGGTTTTTTCATAGTAATAATAGTAAAGGATGCGATATAACATCGACCTTCACCGATCTATTTAATGGGTAACACTAACTCAATAGGTAAATTAATTTATTAAAAATTATAAAAATAATTTATTTTTTTAATTATCTAGCTTATGCCCGCGACTTCTCCTCGAGTTCCCTTGGGATAAAAAGTACCTTATGTGTCATTCCAGACTATAATCTATACCTGTTCCAGATTTCATCTCGATCCCTTCACCCGCTTTGACGTAATTGAGTAACATATGAATCATACACTCAAACATACTAAAATATAAACTTTCGCATTTATTATATAAATTACCCCATCCCCAATCTCCCCAATCCCTGAATCCCCAACAATCCTCAAATTCCTAATACCCAAAAGGCTGGTAACGCACTTGTAACGCTTCTGGTGTTTCCGGTATCCATGACCGGCGCTGATTGGTTGCCATAGGGCGATCGGCATGCTCGTTTATCGGTTTATGCCATAAAAAAATAGTAAGATAATAGCCTGTTTTTATAATAAGTATCGTGAGACATACTAAATCAACCAAAAATCGTGGGTTACTCACTTGAATATACTGAGAAAAGCTCTACTAGTTTCGAACCACAGAGGGATCGAAAACTACTACTGAGTAGCCTGCGCGACATCGCCACGACGGGGCACGCTACTCATGAGGAAGAACCCCTCTGTGGTTTGAAACTAGTAGAGCTTTTCTCAGTATATTCACATGAGTAACCCATAATTTTTAGTAGATTATAGCCTGGCTAAAATTTTACCAGGCACGCATTTTTTATAATATTTAATCAATTAAATTACTTATTCAGTAATTTTTATCAGTAAAACAGATCGGTGAAGGTCGATGTTATATCGGATCTTAGACCATAATGAATTCTTTAGTTTTTGTAGAAAATAATATAACTCTAATAGTTAATATTCATATGTGAATGGGGTTGTGTATGGATAATATTAACACTATTAATTTGTTTGCGTCGAGTGAGCTATAAAACATGCCTGATCCGGGATTCAAACGCAACGTTCGACTAGTCATGTTTAATACCAATCATCACTACATATTATAAAACAAAGTCGCTATCTGCCGTCTGTCTGCCCCTATGTATGCTTAGATCTTTAAAACTACGCAACGGATTTTGATGAAGTTTTCTTTAATAGATAGAGTGATTCTTAAGGAAGGTTTACTTATATGTATAATACATGCATATTGCATCCGTGCGAAGCCAGGGCGGGTCGTCTTATATATAAAAATGATTTGCTGTTCGTTAGTCTCGCTTACTCGAGACCTACTGAACCGATTTGGCAAATTTTGGTCTTAAAAAGTTCGTGGAAGTCCAGGGAAGGTTTAAAAAGTGAAAAAATTTGGTATTTATAGGCGATACGAAGGTTGCCGGGTCCGCTAGTCTTTAACATTATTCATACAACCCTTTTAACACCTCTTGCGTGCTAAAGTTGCCATTTTTAAATATTTTAAAAATAAATACTATTGTAAATGTTAAGTCATTCATTATACAGGTGATTTGTAATTCGAACATAATGTGCTATTCGTCATTTTGAAATTAAACTAATAGCTAAATAATTTAATTACCGTTCATCTCCGCGTATCTTTTTGTTCCACAAAAATATTGGAAATGATCTGTTCTGTAACCCCATACGAGATTATGGTCGAATGACAAATCACTCTGTGTACAGGATGTAAACGGAATGTTTCCAAAAATGCACTGAATTTTAATAGTTTTTTTTTGATTTCGTGTTAATCATTCAACATCAGCTTTGAGCAGTTACTTACAACTATTATTACGTAAAAGAAATATTAACGCCTGAATATTGAAAGGGCACTTAATTTTAAGTTGTACTTAAACATCGTGCCATCTCTGTCGTTTTACAATGAATAGAGTACTTGCTTAATCAAAAATAAATTATTTCGACTGTTCAATACAATAAAATATTTTAAAAAATATCACATTTTCATTTATTGATTTTATGACTAACTTAATATTAGTAATTTTTCAGCACTTTAAGAAATAAGTATGCTGTTTGGAGCTATAAAAAAGTGACGTCACATTACACAATCTCATACAATATTCGTAGAAAACTGTCGTTTTTGACAGTTCGAAAAAAGTATTGAATTTGACTAGTTGGCAAGTACCCTATTTGTAGCGACAGAACTATGCTTAAGCGCGACTTAATATTGAATAACGTTCCAGTATTCGGCTGTTAATTCCTTACTTTTTGAAAATGAAATTCATTTTTTACCACCACATATCTTTTTTTTGGAGCGTTCCGATTTCATCCTGTATACCTAATTGTTTGTAATATAAGGAATTGAACGAAAATGTGTATATTATACTTACTATACTGTGATCCTATAAATAACGATGTCATATCTTATGTCAAAGATTATTACTTTAATTATATTCATTTAGAAGAACCTTTTGTGTTTTTGTTTTCATAGTAATGTGTGTCGTATTTTGTGTGTTGTAGAGGTCGAAATTGATTGTATTATTGTTGGAAGAAAACCTTGAGGGTTAAAAGAAAATGCAGACATGATTTTCAAATCAAATATATTTCATGGAACCCGTAGCGTTTCTTAGCTGTTTTTATAAAATTTATACAATTATTTATAATAATTTACTAATTCATTTTTACAAACGCGTCCTATAAATTGTTTATATACCATTAGCTAATTGTTTTAACCTAGTGTCTTGCTGACAATAATTGGCACCATTTCATATTCGTCTCAGGACAGACTCTCATGTGTCGAAACTATTCTTCACAAACTGTGTCGATATAATTACAAGTATGTCAATGTAAGAAACGCTAATAAACTTAACAAAGATGAGATTCGAACACAGACAAGAGTTACAGCGGAATTTACAAAAAGAAAACTTTTAAATAAGTATAAACCGCAACTTAAAGATAATACAAAATCAGAAATATAATATGAGTACAGTTAACTACTTTCTACACTGGTACATTATCGCTGCACGGAAGTTTCTATTCATACTTATTAATAAAAAAATATAAATAAAAAGTAACAATAGGTAATAAATAGGTCGGAAGTATATAAAAATAAATCTTTTTTAAATACTTACTTACTAGTGAAATTAACTAATAAAAATAATCGTTAAAAACTCGCTTGGCAATCGAATCCAGATTAAAGCGCAGTGAGCACAATTTCGGTAATATTGTGTCTGGCGAGCTAGCGTTTGTACAGACAGGCTGACACGACCAGCATAACCTCACTGTCGTCTGTACAAACTGTAGTCTGCCTGCAGTTGTAAAGGAACAGTTTCACTAACTAAAGGTAACCAGAAATATTACTTTTTGTATTAACATGTCTATTATTTTAAAATTGGAAGGTTTTATATAAAATCAGTTAGTAAAACTGCCCCTTCTAGTATATCAGAACCCTAATAAATAAATAAACGCGAATGAAAATTAAAACAATAAACTCCCTGAGTTTGTCGATCTATATCTAAGTGATGTATAAGCCACATGCGTGATTTACATATTTATAAACTATCTAGCAACATATTGTGAATGCTAAATTTCAATTAAACTAAAACCGAAGTTGTTCCTTGGTAATTAAGTTCGAATTCGTTTAGCAATGTAGTGATATTGGTTTAGAACCTACCTATTTATAAAAATACTATCCTGTAAGAACTAAAGTAAGGTTCTTTAACATAGTCAAAATGTTATAGAAAAATGTGATACAACGTACTGTAGATTGAAAAAAGCGTAAGTAATCTTTTAAATACTGTGATTGGAATGCGTCGCAAACTAGTTGTCTTTATGAGACGTGTGTCGGAGGACGAGACGGTCACCGGGCGAAGCTGGAGGGAAGCTGAGCAAGCAACCAGCCGTCCACACCCTCAGATCACATCTCAGAAGGACACCTAGACAATATAATAATCTCAGTCGGATGTTACGAGACAGAATAGATGACCAGCATCGACACCGAAGGCTGCCTCAATTTCCAATTTCATTACTAGGAGGTGATCCAATGTACTTTACCTACACTTCTCTACATAAGAAGCTTACAACATTTAATAACATATAAACCATAAAATAGATAATAAATGTCCTTAGTATTACTTAATACGAATTACAATAACATTATATTTAGTTGCGAACATAAAACTATTTACGTCGCTTAAGGACTAGAATATGTTGAGGAAAAAAGCAGATGTTCGCAGGGAACACGTATGTGGTCTGCTTTATTGCAAAGCGGCTGTGAACCGTTGCGTTGGAAGTTGGTACAAAACTGCGTAGTTATATTATACGGTAGATGCGTCGGTACTGTCTCGCGGTTGTCGTATTAGCGTTTACCGACGAAGTCGATCATTTGATCAATTTGTTCCTTTTCGTCGTATAGGTACAAAGACTCCATGCATCCCTTGAAGTAGGGTGACGTGAAACATTTCTCCCTGAAACACAAAAAAATCTCATTAGTGAACGTCATACTGTATTGAGTCGTCTGTTAATAGAAGAAGGAAGTACATAGCAGATAGCATATTGTTTAGTTACATTGTACTTTATACCAAATTATCAAGTGCGTGCAAACTATATCATAGAGGCTCTATTTTAATACTACTCTGAGATATTAAATTTCATAAAAAGGCATGTCAACATTGAAATAAAAGAACTTATAATATAGAAGAGCTTGGAAGAGAATATAGCTAATACAATTTTTAAGATAGATAGGTACATTGATAGTAACAAAATTAAGGCAAATAATTCACAATTGGACTAATGTTACTTCCACCATAATCTGCAAAGCATTATCTACCTTATGTAAATTGAAATAGTGCATAAAAAGAGTTATAAAATATAAAAGTGCTGAAAAGAAGGCGTGTAGGCATGCTGTTAATTCAGCTTCTAGAAGATAAAAGGTGCTGTAAATAAAGAACTCCATTTTAGCCCATATACTTACGATCATTACCTTTTGGTATACATAGCAGTGTTAAAGATATAGGTACTTATAATAGTGCGATATAAATAGCGTGCAGTTAATACCCCAAAGCTGAAGAAATGCTCAACGCATTAGAAAGAGACAGGTGTAGGAAATATTAGAGGTGAGAAGGAGAGGTAAAATAAATTCGGTTGGTAGGTACCTAATTCCCAGCCGGGGGTACGGCCCCGTGTAATATTCTTATATATTCCTTGAACTGTTCTAACTGGTCAGTTTCTTGTAGCACCTCCACGCAGCCTTTGAAGTAATCTGTCGTGAAACAGTCTTTCCTGTGCCCCAACAAGGAATAATGCACTTTATTATATGTTCATACGGTTGGAATTGAATATGTTGAAATCGAATCGTGAATTTTCATGCTTAACTTGCACTTTAGCCCAAAGTGCTAATCAGTTACTGTTTTACAATAGGTGTCTACGTAGTATAGTTTATCTTATCATTTATATCGAGAATAAAACTTAAAATTCCAAGCACAAATTCAAGATTCCAAAACAACAATTCCCGCCATATTATGGCACAGATACACAAAACTGTAAAACGTCACAATTCAAATAGAGAACGGAATGAGACGCAACGAACCTGCATAGATTATAGAGCTGTGGTTCCCTGAAAAGGTTGTAGCAGTCGTCGCAGATCCTGTCGAGGCGGGCAAAGATGGCCGCGTCGTAAACTCCTTTGCATTCAAGGGTGAAGAAGGAGCGCCGCGCGACGTGGTGCGACGACGAGGGCGGCGCCGCTGCGCCCAGGGCCACCGCCACCAGTGCCGCGCACGCCAACTGAATCGAACTTAGATGCATCTGGAAATAAGAATATGGATAACGTTAGTACCATTCATTTATACAAAACAGATTTACGATTAAATGCTAACAATGCTGATGCAATTTTTATATTGCTCATTTTCCATAAAGTAATACAATTTTTCCTTATAAATCTGTTCTAATTTTACTCATTAGGTATCTATTACGTGAGCGTTATAAATTAGGATCATCGTCATAGAATGATGAATGAGAAAGGTTTTGTAATATTCATTACGAACCTGTGGTTCTTCGTAAGTTGTAGGTACTGTTACAATAATAAGTAAAATTATACATTATTAACACGTGAATAGCCGTTATTTATTTAGTTGGAGAATCAAAGGAGTGAGCGGCGATGGCGTAAAATTACGCAGCGTGTGCGCCTGCGCAGGGCGCGTTGTCACGCGGTTAAGGGAAATACACATATCATCCGTTATTATATTTAGGTAAATACATACAAAAAGCGTATAAAATGTAATTTCCATGCTTGATAACATTGTATAGACGAATCTCGCATGAGTCAATTAGAGCATACGACGCGTAGTATAAAAATATTACCTACCTACCTACTGTGTTATTAGTACAATATAACTTTTATAAGCCTTTGCCACAATTTCCCTTTAGTTTTATAATAATGTCCTCTATGGCCTGAAAGCTTCTAGAGCTATGTTTTTTTTTGTATTTTACTGTACTTATTTTATTTAGATGTGAACTTAGCCTTAAGTTATCACCAATAGATTAAAGCGCAAAGTGAACGGGCGATTATCTCGAAGTGGACTATATAAGTAGATGGCGCTTTATTATTGGACAAGAGCGATGCAATAGGAAATTTGTGAAACAGACAATTTCATTTAAAATGTTTTGTACCTAGCCGATAAACGATTACTGATAATCGGTCTAACTAACGAATAACGAATGGAATCTGTGGAATGAAGAATTCTGCATAAAAGTTTATAATAGGTATTGATTGCTTATTCGATATTTTTATATTTATCGTGTCTAAGCTGTCGATAGTTATGTGCTAATTGCTAATAGCATTTTATAGTGTTTATTAGGTACATCTAGCCACGTAATTAATACCTGCATAATTGATACAATCATAAGTATATTTTTTTGTAAGGGGGAAAAATCATCGAATGACTGCTCCCGCCTAGGTGAAGCGGGAGGGAGTGTCAGACTCTTACTGACTAAAAACCACCCCGTTCCTATTCCTGCACTTCGAGCCGGAGCCCCGGCATCATAAGTATACTTAAAATGGATTTCAGCTAACTTTAAGTAATTAAAGTAGGTACCTATGTATGTAGACCTAAGTTGATACATGAGGCAGGAAACGATAACAGCTTATGTGCCTACGACATATTCTAAACTCCTTTCCCTAACTTTCCAATCACTGGGAGATTAAGACTTTGACTGCCATTAAAAAACTGTTGAAGGCAAATCCTCCGCTAACGCCGGTCACCGGTGACCCCCATGGCGTTTAACGTGTTAAGAACTACACAAGTTCTTAATCTCCTTTAATACATTGCTATATTATTGAATATTCGCTATTTTGGTTTCTACCACATACAACCGTTTTGTAGGTACCTACCAAATTGCATCTGCTACGGCAGAAAAAACGCCAAATATTCCTTTTGCAAAGAGTCTAAGCTAACTGACATAAAACTGACATACTTTTACGCTTTTATCCTAGGTAAACCCATGTACCGATTTTGATGAAATCCCCTACAAAGATTGATTATAGCTTTGGGATAAGTTATAAGGTACCTACCTAATGATAGAATTGATGACACACGGTATTGTAATCTACAATATCCATAAGTAGAACCGGACTTATAAAGTATTTCACAGTGATTCAGAGAACTTCTTCTATTTAAAATATTCTAGATGTTAGTCAAGATTTGTAATCAGTAGCTTCCTTTATCTAATTTATTTTTCTGCGAATTATTGATTTGTCTATTTATATCAACAGGTAGGTTATATACCTATCGATTACTAATACCTTGTTACGTAAAACATCATGAGTGATCATTTTTCTCTGAAACAGTAGAGCTCTAGTGTAGAATTCTATATGTCCTAAAAACCCTAAAGACAGAAAATACCCTGACAACCCTACAAAACCCTAAAAAAGAAAGAATAAAGGTGAAAGAAGAAAAAATAAAATCCAAGCGTGATTCAAGAACATCACAAATAAAATATTAAGTTTGTAATAAAACCTACTTGGCAAGAATGACGGCGTAATCTTTAAAAAAAGAATGCAATCGTCTACAATCTATGATCATACCATATCGCCTCATGTTTTGGGAAAGGTGCAATTTAGTGAATGTTACCGAGGCGTAATAATATCGCATTCTTTCATGTTAGACCTACTTGCAACAATTCTTTTGAGGTGATCGTCCTAAACTATGTTAATGGTCTGTTTTGACCTTATTTTTTCTATATGTGCGAAAGTTTGAACCTTAACATGATGTTGTATGAAAAGTGAAACCAATTCTTACTTTCTACCTATGTTCAAAATTACTTAAATCGTAATGCTAATGACATAAAGATGTTGGTTGTGTAAGTACTGGACGATGAAAAGAAGTTGACTAAAAGGAGTTCAAAGACTTCGTTGATTATGTTCTTTGGTTGCTTTATGTTGCTTTGGTTAGGAGTCAATTAGAGACGAGTGCTATAATCTGGAACCCCCATGAGATGAAATACAGCCTCATGGTGGAGAAGATGCAAAACAAGTTTACTCGGTACCTGTACCTAAAACAATATGGAGTGTACCCGTATTACCCACTCATGTATCCTTCTCTGTTTGTTATTGGCATGGTGGGATACTATAAGCTGGAGGTCAGGCGAGAGGTTGCACTCGCAAAGTACGTGTTTGAGGTTTTCCGGGGTAAGCAGAACAATCCATCCATACTGGCTTCGTTGAGGTTGCTCGTCCCAAATACAAAGCTAAGGCTGAGCCCGAGGCAGAGACTATTTGAGGTCCCAACCAGTCGCACTAACATAGGTCGATATGCTCCTGTGGCTAGAGCTATTAAAATAATTAACAGAGTTGGACAAAAGGTTGATATTTTCTGTTGCTCATTGGCGGAGTTCATAAAGATAACGACTGATGTTGTTAGTTGTACATATGTAGTTAATGGATAAGTACATAGTTGTTATAAGTTTTTATATTAAGTTTTTATTTAAGTTTTTTTTTTATTAATACTAATTATAAGTTTTTACATTAAGTGACAACATTATCGCATTGGGTGTAACCTGTTAGGATGTGTTGAATTAAATAAAAATAAAATAAAATAAATAAAAATAAATAAAAAAAAATGTTGCTGACTTTATTTTTACGTACATTCTGAAGAATAGCAGTTAATGGATTATATGGGACCAATGATAACTATGTTAATTGAAAGTTAAAAGTCTTTATTGCTCTTATATTACAGTCTAAGAAATCTTGAACCGAAAATGACAAAATTCCTAAAGAACAATCACAAAGTTTCACACAATTTTCTCATTGTTTTATTAATATCAATAAAATAAGAATCGTGTCACTGCTTAACCCTCCGCCGCGATCGCACTTAAATAAAGTGTTGCCCGTCTCAATAAACCAACATAATATATACGTAACGTTTCCTGATTGGGCCAAGTGGACCGGTTCTTACTTCGGTATCAGTATAAAGTAAACCGTCACTGCCATGAAACACTGTTACACAGAAGTTTTAGTTAGACCTTTATCTAACTCTTGTTTTTTACTGTGCAATAGTTAAGGTAAACAATGACTCACATAAGTGTGTCCGATATAAAATAGTTTTCATATATCTTGCTCTCGTCTAGTCTTGAAACTTTTCGGTCTCATCGTTCGCTTGATAAAATTGACATGTAAAGGTGCTGCCTTGTAGCCTATTTGCAAAAGTAAATGCTCTCGTTTCACTTGTTTATTGAAAATCTAAATACTGAAAATTAATTCAGGATTCAGCTATTTTTCGTGCGACTAGATATGTGCTGTCCATCAAACTATCACCATTAGATCAGGCAGTAGATAATTATCATTTTGTAAAAACTGATTTTTTTCGGATGGGGATGTACAATTCTGGAAAATCAACAAAAACGTCCTAATGTAGTCGTTGCCAATTCATACATTTCTCTTTTTTATAAAACTGGGCCTTCTCCAACGTCTCTGAAGAGTATTTACATTGGCCAGTCGGCTTCACTTTAACGATACAGTAACGAGAGACGCCCCAAGCAATGGTGATTCATGGACTATTTTATGAAGTTATTATGCCACGGTGGGCTTGTTCAATGGTGGTCCGATGGTCGCTTGTCAATATATGAATGGACTGCGGTAATAGCCTTTGTGGACGCAAAACTATCGGTTCTAGTTTAGATATGAATGAAGCTGGAAAATAGTCTAGAAGTCATGTTTTCTTGAAGCTGGAAAATGAATCTACACTTGATGTAAAATAATTTTTTATACAAACTCATTTTCCAAATATAAAATCTTCCTACAATATAGATTAGTTCATCAGCTACAATTAACTTATAAAAGTACTGTCTCCAAGAATGTCTTACACTACATATTCATTACCGGAGCATCGAATTCATTGAAAACTTTAACTTTCTTCTGGCCTGGGATTAGATACGTTTCACACATGTGTAACGAGGGCATAAATAATGTAACGACTGACACAAACTGTCGCTTGTTACGCAAGTGTGCGGGTTAAGTGGTGTGCTCACTGACGGGACAGACATAGTTGGGAACATGTTGGGCGACAGTTGCACTACGGCAAAATTCTTGAAATGCTCCAGGCGTCAGAAATAAACTTTGTTTTTATAACTGTAAAACCGTAAAACGGGAGGAAAATACTATACATGATACCACAATTTCCCTATAATCTTTTCATTGCTTGTTAAGTTTATCAATAGTTTTCTGGGAATTTAAAATCTATGATTTTTAATCTAGGAACTTTGGTGAGTAGGTATTTGAAGTGTCTATTTTACCAAAATCTAGGATCACG